GGAGAGGCAGGGATGCCTGGCAGGAGCATCTCATAGGTAGCAAAGCTGCACTAGTCCTGCTGCCAGTGGAACTGCTCCCTTGCTTTGGTCTCACTACCTGCTGCAGCACACAGCCCTGCCTGCTATCTGTGAACACCTGGAAACAAATTTCCATCTACAAATATAATTTTTCTCCAGATACAGGTTAAAATGATAAGTTGAAATAAATGTAGAGAGATATTTTATTTTTTGCTCTCAAGTCTGATTTATTTAAATGTAGAACTACTCCTTAACCCTATGGTTTGTAAATCTGACCTTCAACTTGACAGATAGCTCTAGTACATGTGAAAGTGTTTCACTTTAACTTGGCTATCTCTAATTGCACTACAGTTATTCTGATAATTGTTTTGTAACTATCCAAATCCATCTGCTGTGTCTATCTTCAGTTGCCTCCAGGGACTACTATAATCAGGCTGATCAAGCCACTTGCTGGCAGGAAAAATGTTCACAAGAACTGAAAATAAGCAGTATTTCAGCAAAACAGACTGTAAGAACAACCACAGGGTCAGCCTGGGAGCTCAACTGGCCCAGCAACAGAGGATGCCTGAGGAGAATAAGACACAGCGCAAAAGCGCAGTGCTGCTTGGTCACGTTCTGCTCCCAGGCCAGGCTCAGACACCCTCAGCCAGGACACTGGTAATACATTATGACAAGACATGCCACAGCTTAACTGTATGAAAACCCACTACTTTGTACTTTGAACAAGCCACTGTCAGTCTACTTTGATGTTCCTTGGTAGAAATCAATGTCTCTTCATCCCTTTGCTGGCCTGAAGAGTCCCAGTCTACTTCATCTGGTCTTTGACTGTGAACTCTCCTCACCCCCTTCTTTGTATCATTTCTTGTTCTATCACGTCTTTCTGTGATGGTGAAACCCAAAAATGCATGCAATATCCAAAATTGGAGCAACTGTGGCACAATAGCATAGTGATGCTTTGTGGTTTTTTCCTCTCTTCCTATTTGATTTACCTTTTTGTCGGTGACTGAGCACTGAACAACATTTTACAGAACTATCTACTGTAGTCCCAAATCTAGTTTCTGAGTGGGAATGGTCAGATACCATGGGCCTTTAAAGTTGGAGATATTTACCCAGGTACCTCATTTTACATTTACTTTTATTGGTAATTTTGTTATTCAGCTGCTTGGTACTGTGAGGTTCTCCCCTGATTCCTCCTTGTCTGCCCTGCACTTTACTATCCAGCATTATCAGAAAATTTTGGAGCTTCTGTTTTCACAAAAGGCAAGCAGAGTTCAAAGGACAGAAAATGAAGCTGTGAATGCCTGAAAGATATAGAGCAATTGACACCTGTCTGAGCAAATCATATTCTAGTCACATGAATCTCCTCTTGACCTGTACTATTTGGACCAAATTGCTGGAGGAAATAATCGAACAGTTGTGTTTCCCTGGTCTATATATCACTGCCACTGGTTGTTTCTGATGTGCAAAAAGTATTGCAGTCCTACAGAGAACATTTTGTTTGCTAAACCCAAGGGCAAAGCCCTTCAGAGGCAGCTCTAAGTGCCATTTAGTTTTTAAATAAGTTCTTACAGAGCTCTGCATATGTGTGCTTTTGCCTATTGATTAAATAGGAAATATTCTGTTCTTTAAAACAATGTACGCGTTTTTTTTAGTGCCTGGAGGATTATAGAAATTTTTTTCTGTGTGTTATACTGTAAGCCAATACCAGTCTAATACAGCTATTGAGACAACAACAGTGTCCATAAATTTGCTTTTTTGTATTCTTTGTCTCTAGTTAATCAACAAGGAGAGCTGAATTGCTCCACAGAGGCTGGCTCTGGGAAGAACAGACCATTAGCAAAGGGCCCACCCGAAGGCAGGCTCACAGGGCTGGCAGCTCCAGGACTGTTCCCCATCCGGGAGAGTCACACAAACAACTGCACTGTCCAAACTGCATTCCCCTATTCCCAAGGGAAAGTCCTCTGTCCTCTTGATTGATGTCTCTTTCTGACAGAGGTGACTGTTGTATGTGGGATTTTCTGGCTTTGAGAGCCATCTACAAAAAGCGCAAAAATTGATGGGGTCCTCCTGGGATAGGAGGGTGGGATTGCCATCATTGCCATCAGACCCTTCTATAACACAGCACAGCATTTATGAGTCAATGGCCTTATCTAAAAAACTTCATGCAAACTTTAGAATAAGGTACCTGAAGAACTTGCTGCCAGCAAAAGTAACAGTCTTTAATTAATGAACCTTTCTGAAAATGAGTAAAATAGTGAATTTACTTCAAAAATTAGTAGAAATTAAAACACTGGACTCTTTCAGCTGCTACCTTCTTAAGTGCTATAGTGTCTACTGAAATGTAGTTGCTGCTGAGCCAGGTTTGCATTTGTGGGCACCATGGCGTCTCCAATTACTGCTCAGCAGTGAAGAAGCCTGCAGGGCAGCAACTGTTAGTGAAGGGCTCTGCTAAGTGATCCATACCACCACTTGTGCTGGGCATTGAGTGCTATTATTTCACTTGCCCTCTGCATGGAGTCTGAAGAAAAGGAAAGAGGTCCTAGAGCAAAAAGGAAGGAGGAGATGGAATGAATATGCTTGCAAGTCAGTGCAGTGTGCTGTCTGGTTGGCCCCAGATGTGGTGCTCTGTTTGGCACAGTGAACCCACCATCCACAGTCCTTCAAGCAACTGATGAGAACTCATCAATTCTTCTGTAATCCAATGTTGTGTTTAAAACAGACAGACCCAGTGGGGGGAAGCAGTCATGTGCTGCAACAGAAGCCTTGATAGAAAGTGGATTAAAATTCATTATTTAAAACAACTGTATCTCTTGGCTGTATCCCTTGATGCAACTGCTAAATGCTAATTCTCATCCTCCTTTTATAATTTCCTAGACCTCCTTTAGCATGGAACCACTGAGAATTTATTTCCTCCTCCAATCTGTGCACTAGCAAATGGAAAACTTTGGTATGAGTTAAACTGAAAGCCGGTAATTGTGAGAAGACTGTCACACAATGTTAGATCTGTGATCCTTTAGCTCTGGAAGGGGTAACTCCAAGCTTCAAAGGACAGAATAAGAAACTGTAAAGGAGGTAGGTGTAAAGATGTATGTCAGTGTGAGCCTCAACAGTTACATAAACCCTCCTAAGATCATCCAGCATTGGAGCAGTACACTGTGACCTGAGTGACCCTGATAACCTCTGTGACTTTGTCATCCTACAGCACTGTTAAATCCTCAAGGGGAGAGCTGCAGGTGTCAGGAACACCATTAGTCTCCCTTGTCATCATCCCAAACATCTCACTTGGAACTACACCTCCCTTATCAACTGCCAAAACAAAAAGCTACTGATGGATGTGCACAGAAGTAGCTTTATGCTAATTATTTAATTACAACTAATGACTGTTTGGTGTGTGTATTAGCATATGTCAGTGCTTCTCACAGTTTATTTGAATAGGATATAGAGATGAGGCAGTGAGAGGGAAAGTGCTGTTTGGCTTTGCAGGCAGTGCTGGTGGGTGGACCCGAGTGCATGGCTGCACCATGGGACTCCACCAAGCAAGGGAAGCGCCTTCTCCCACCAGCACCTGCCATAACCCAGGCAAGCAGGGCAGAGGTGCTGGTCGTACATGGCACCCCTCCTGCAGGCCTAGGAAATATTAATCAGGAGGATTAAAGTCTTTCAAAGATGGAATAGGTTCTGCTTTCGTAATACTTTTCGGCTTCCACGAGAGTCAGCACAGCTTGGTGTGCTACAAAGCACTCTTTTTTCCCCTTGCTCAGAACATCTTTAATTAATTCTTGGCAGGACTATCTAACTCTGCATGTAGATAAGAATAAACTTCAGCAAAGCTGAGGCCTCCCACAAGGCCAGTCACCTGGGTCTCTCCACTCCAGGACTTCGTGTGAGTACACAGACTTTCCCTGCATGATACTCCTGTAGCAGACAAATGGATGTGGTAAAGCCACCAACATCAGGATCCATTCACACAGCTGGGAAATGCAGGTGTCTTGAATCAAGGTAGATAAATGATTCTGTAGACCATAAAGGCAACTGAAAACTTCCAGCTGAGAGAGACCAGATCAAGTCAGCAACTGTATGATCAGGTCATTGCAGCATGAACATGAGCAGCAAGGTCTTCACTTGTATTTCAGTAGCTCCTCTCCAGAGTGGAGCCATCTGGAAGCAGCTGTCAGGCTTGGCAACATGACCTGAACAGCCACGTCTTCTAGGAGCATGGAAATCCCCACATCTCCCCATGAGCTGCAGAGAACTTTCTGCTACACCTCAATCCCTGACCACACCTGCTGCCATCAGGAGGTCTGTGATTAAAAAAATCAATCAAGATGTGCATGTCCACTGAATATCCTCCAGACTGTGTTTTCCCTCCAAGCTTCTTAAAGTGCTGGATCCATTGAGCAACCTGCACTGATTGGAGCCCAAAGCACCTGTATGGCACTGGGAGAGGAATCTTTCCAAGAAACCAATATAATGTGAAAATGCTTTTCAATGCATCTTATTGACACTCTTTGAAAGCTGCAGTACCTGCACCATCAGCATGGCTGAGATCATCTGGGATCTACTTCTTTGCTTAATGTAAACCAATTGATTTCAGTGGGCACTTGGTGCCTATGTACATGTTAAGATCTAGATTTTAAGAATCCCATGTAAGAACATAAATCAATGTCAAGTGTTTGTGGTTTTTGTGACTCAGCTGGCAAGGGAACTCAGTATTCTCTAAGCAATTTGCTTAAATAACATATCTTTAAATCTATTTTTCTGAAGGAGAAGAAAGAAAATCAGAAGGGCAGAAAAGGTAATAATCACTGAATTTGCTTCTGGATTTTCTCCCTGTGTCTTTAAAATGCAAAAGTGTTATTGCCAAAGTTGATTTTGATTTCCTCTCAGAAATAAATTGTACACTGTCTCTTAAATGGACAGTGCTGAAATATAAGGCAAATGTGAGCAGTTAAAATACCTCTACCTGAAGAAGACAAAATCAGATTGGTGTAGTAACTTGGTGACGTTTCTGCCCTTTCCCCCCCACCCTTCCTTAAACAGTGCTGCTATTTTACAATAGAAATCCTGTCGGAGTTTTGTAGCTGACTCAGAGGTACAGACCTTTACTACTGCAAAAAGAAGAAAAGGAGAGAGAGAGAAAGAGGTAATTTCTAAAGTGAAATTAAATTAACCATGAAAGAAAACATTTCCAAAATCACTTAATTTTATGTCAGTTCACTGCAGCATTTTGGATTTGTGCCACCTAAAAATAAAGTATCAGTACATATTTCAGGACTGTGGTTCTTCTAATACTTTGTGTTGCAGTTCAGAAACTGTAAAGAAATGTAATTGGATTTTGTTATGCCTAAGTTAATAATTAGAATCTGTTTTGGAACATGTTCTAATAAAATAAGACATAATAGACTTTGCATAATTATTAATCTTGTAATAATCCTCAGGTGTACAGATTACTTTTCAGAAACACAAGCAATATCTTGCAGAAAAGATGACATTTATTGGCTTGTTTTTCTTCTGGATGCTGATGAACATGCTAACAGGTAAGAATACTGTTGAATTTATTCTTGTTTGTTTTTTCAAGCAGCCAGAAATATTTTGTTATTAATACAGTATCTTCTATTTAGTATCAGATATCGCTTATGTATTTACGGCAACTGCTCTGGCTGTTAGTTAAGAGTATTTGGTTTGTAACACTGAGTGATTGCAAATGGGGAATTCCTTATTAAGCTGTTCAAGAAACAAAAAAACATTTGACATAACCGAGTGTCCTACCTGTGTGTTAAAGAACTTGTCAGCTTCTGGCTACACAGCAAGCCTTTTATTAACAGAAAGTCTTTCTGTGTGGGAACTAGTATTGATGTGTTTCCTCTCTATTTACAGATGCCCGATCAATCAAGGATGGAGATGGTAATTCTTAATGTGTTTTCTTTCCTTTGTATCACTAACAATTAGAAGAGCCATTTGTAACTCCCAGACCTGATCTTCAGCAGCAATTTTAGCAGGAATGTTTACTAACCTCAGTGGGCTGTGGAAGTGCTTTCATCTAGTTCTGGTGGAGAAAGAAGAGTGAATTTTTAGAAATTTATTTAAAATGTGTTAAAAGATGACATATTAATGTCTAATAATAGAGCTAACATACTTGCAGTCTTAAAATGAAAAGGGGTTATGGTCAAGTCACTAATTCTGTTGTACAAAATTGTAACTGGAAAGTACCAGACTTATAAATATATTAGACATCTGAGAATTTTGTCTGTCCTGAACAATAATACCATATGTGTGTCTGGTTATTGGCAAGAAATACTGACTTCCACAACAAAAAGCTTAAAATATACAAATTGCCACAAATCCAATTAAAGAAATGTTGGAATAAATCCCTAAACACAGCTACCCTGTGGTTTGTGTCACTTTGTGTGCTTAGTCCACTGGATTAGTGTTTGCCTTTGATTAAAAAACCCGTCAACATCCTAATGATGTTTACGCTGGCTTACTAATGATTGTATCAGTTAGCCTCTCTGTTTTCAGACAGAATTCTTTCTAAACATGAAGTTGCGTAGACGTATCTGGAATAACAAGGTACTGCTATTGCTGGTGTACATCTCTGTTAGTATAACCAGCAGGATAGCCAGCAGCATCCCAAGTGCACAGATACAAATATGCAGGGAGAGTATTAAAACAGATATGGAAAGTAGAAATTATGTATATGGAATCAGGGCTAATACAATTACTTTAAATTCAAAACATTTTTCCCTATGCTCTGTTATATTTCCTTATACCTCTAAAGACTTTTGAATGCATCATCTGTGTTTTCACAAATTTAAGGGTGCTATTACATTTGTGCACAGCAAATATTTCTGCCACAACCTCTTTGACAGTCAGGAGAGTATGTGTCAATCTAAAATTAAAACCTCATTTAGGCAGTATCCTGTAGCTCTCATTACCAACAATTATGGTTTTCTTTCACACTGGGCCAAGCAGCAGACTGCAAAGTGAATCTAAGGTCAGCTGGTATAAACAGTGAATCCTTCCCTGCAGACAGCATTTGGTTTGTTACATGCCATCTGTGCCTGCACGCTTCAAACTTTACCCTGTAAAATTAAGGTCTGACAATAGGATTGCTAAATGCTCTTAATTCCCACTAAAGACCCTGATCCTGAGCTCAGCCTGGTGAGTGGAATGGCTCCCATTTATTTAAATGGGCTTTAAATCAAACCAAAATACTGGGTTTAGTCCTGCTGCACAGAAAGACATTTGTAACTATGTAGTTTCAGCTAGTGTTTACAATTTATATATGCTTCTGTGTTTGCCCAGATTTGGGGCCAAGGGTGGGCAGCTCCTGCATTTTCAGAACTGATTTTGTTTTAATTTTCCTGCTGAATTTGAAATCTTGTTTCAATGCATATTTCACATTTTCTCAGATATTCAATCTTCCAAGTGGCAATGCCTTTCCTCTCTCTTTCTTTAATATATTTCCTACGGCCTGCTAAGAAGAGGCACAACTCTGCAGTGCCAGGCAGTGTCAGGGGCACCGCATAGATGTGTGCCTTATTCCTTATATTTTTATACTGGGCAGAAGAAATGGTGTGGAATGAGGAAAAGTGGCTTTCAATTGCAATTGCTCCTGCCTTTTAGATAATCAGCAGCCTTCTAGAAATCAAAGCAGCCTGATGAATTCTTGAGTTGCTCCAAGTGCTGATGGTTTCCCTGCCTTTCTACTCTCTATCTTGTCCTACTCTGTCATTCCTGGTGCCACCAGAGCAGAGAATACTGGCTTCCATTTTCTGCAGAGCAGGGCAGGGTCAATGTCCCTGCCTGCCTCTCTCCTGCCACAGGACCCCACAAGCCTCGCAAGGGAACCTACAACCCCAAACCATGTTGGTTCCCAGGCCCAAGCTTTCAACAAAAAATACTTCATATTTATAGTGATCTGCAAATTTTTTAACTTTTTTTTTTTTTTTTTTTTTTTTCATCCAGTGATTTCTGGTCCTACGTGGAATATTTCCGAACCCTGGGAGCCTACAACAGGATCGATGAAATGGCCAGAACCTTCTTTGCTCAGTTCCCTTTTGGCAGTCACCTTGGCTATCATGTGCCCAACCACGAGCGCTAACTGCTTTGCTCACTTTTGCTGAAGCTGGTGCCAAGATGTTCAAGTGAATACACAGCTGGCAGTGAACACACCTTAACTATCCCTCAGCCTCTTATTAATACTCACAGCAGCCATGTGTAGCATTTCGTGCATTAAATTAGCCTTTCCTTTTTTACAACATATGCTTTTGCATTAAATCAATAAAATTCCTCAAATCTGTTGCAGTTTTGGGAGGTTTTTTTACACATAATGCTTGTAGCCTTGACTGGAAACCGCTCTCTGTGTGTGTAGTAGTTAAATACCAGTCCACACAGTTTGGTTGCTAGAAGGACCACCGCTGGAATTCACAGCCACATCCCTGCAGGGTGAGGCTGCCCTCCCTGGCTACCCCCACGCCATTTTCCCCGCTGCAGGCCGCGGCCGGCCCCGCCGTTGCCATGGCGAGGGAGGCGGGGTGAGCAAAATGGCGGAGCCCCACCCTCCTCGCCATGGCAACGGCGGGGTCCGCCCCAGCGCAACCATAGAGAGGCGGCTCCTCCCCCCGCGCAGAGCGGCCCCCCGGCCGGCCGCGGGGCGGAAGCAGTCACCGCGCGCCCGGA